CCATTAACTGATTCCGTTTTACTAAATATTGGTCTATCGATCGCGTTTTTACTAAACTGCTGCAAACAATTCGGCCATTCGTGGCTCCTCTAATGCCGAGTGACTTGAACCTACCCAAAATCTAACCAATCGCGGCCACCTTTAATGTGATCTAACTATAACCCACAAAATTAAACCAATGAAAGCTACTTCTAACGTTTCCTCGCTATAAGCTACAAAAGATTTTCTCAACCACAAAATTTTAACTTTTGCTATCTAACTGTAACGTCTACGGAATATACCCAAACCATTGAAAACAGGGTATACTGTGGTAATAGTTTTATATTATATCCATGAAATTAACAATCCTTTTGATTTTGCTTAGATAATTTTCTTCTTTTTCATTTTATAATTTGCTTTTTACGATTGTTTCCTTCTTAAATTGTCATACAGTAACCCAATAAAATGTACATATAGCACCGAAAATTGAGGGTTCTCTTATTAAAAACTGCGTTTATGGGTTGAAGGTCAAAAAAATATATTTCTTAAGAAACAAAAAGTTAAATTAAACATCACTATAAGACTTTTTTTTGACTTAAAATGTGTTTAGGTGAATGGCTATGAATGCCTATGCTAATATTTCGACGCTCTGTAAGATTATTTGGTTGGCCTAATCGGTTCTTATTCTATGTACTATTTGCGTTATTGTAACTTTTTATACCAGTTCAGACAGTACCGCGATTAATTCCAATCGATTTTGCTATTTCCCGTAGAAATTTTCTCACACTTATCTTCGTAATCATATTTCTGACCTCTTGACGAATGTTTTCGGTTTCTTGCATATTTTTTCATATTTCAACGAAAATAAATAAACAAACTTACTTTAATTGATAAATTACTTTTTAAATGCACAAGAACGAGTTCAAAAACTAAATTTTTTTTCGAACCTTCTAGTGATATGTCTTCAGTATATGTAGACTTTTTTGTGTTTGTCATGGAATTAAGATATAGTTTTTGCTTATAACTTTATCTTAAGTCAAAAAAAAATCATGAAGTGTTATTTAATATTAGTTTTCGTTTCTTAAGAACATACTTAATGTCCTCAACCCAAAAATGCATAATAAGAGAAAACTCAATTTTCCCTACTGTATGTAGACTTCATTGAGGTATCGTATCTATATGAAATCTAACATATTAAATTTCATAAATGATTGAAAGTGTTATGCACTTTTTTTTGCAGAAATTTACAGTACTGTTCAAATTATTGAAGTTTTATCTTCGTTAGGCAGCAATGCTTTTTAAACTATTATGTTAAATTTTTGCTGAGTGTGGTGTTGAAAATCAAAGAGCATGGTGTCATCTATTAACCTGTGTTGAGTTGGTAGATGTCTGAACTAGTATATTTAATTCATTATAAGATTTTTTTGTTTCTAGTCTAGTTTATTATATAGTTAGCACCGACATGATTTTTTCAATCCGCGTGCTCTGCTTAATAAGGAGTGAAGTCAATGAAGCCACGTATTTTGAATTAATATTTTGTTGCACTTTTATTCTCTAAATGTCAGAAAGAAAATTACCGTTTTTGTTATCAGTAAAAAAATGACGCGTACCTTAAATGACTTCTACACTACCACTTAAATTAATTTTCAATAATATATTTATTATTCAGGGATGTCGCTGGCACTAATAAAAATTGCGAATTATATCGACGCATTTTTGTAGCAAGTATTTACACAACATTCACAATATGTTTATTACTAAGAAAAAAACTATACTTATTTAGACATACGTTATGCGAATAGTTTTAAGTTAATATGAAAGAATAAAAGTTTTGCCTGTACATCATAGCAAGCATTTGCATGGCTATTACTTTCACATTCTTAGAACGTTACAATCTAAACAAATGATAATAATTAGATTTAGAATGTTGAATAAGGAAATATATTGTCGGAAGTAAAAAATAATTATTGAGTAGTTTTAATGAATTAAGTACAATTCTAAATAAATTTTTTTAACATGCGTAATTAGACATGATAATTCGAATAGAAATATTTCGCTTTTTGGTTGTTGGATCAATTCTGAAATAAACTGTAACGTAATGCTGAAGTGTGATACCTATATTTTTGATTTAATTCAAGTAGCGCATAAATTCGTACTTTAACGATAAACATATAATGTAATGCAAATATATGTGTTCAAAGTTATTTCAAGCTATTGACAGATAATATGCATTCCATGTCAGACGAATATATCTTTCAAGTCCATTAGAATCACCGTTTGCTATCACATAATTAAAAAATTCGGTATGAACAACTTACATAAATCATTTTTTCAATCAAACAAAGTACATATTTTTTGCATTTTAATTTTTACTCCTTTTCGGTGGCTAAGAAAAAACAGTAGGTATAGTGATAGAAGTTAAGTAACGGTCAATCTACTTGTATTCAATGTTTTTGGAAATGGTATACTCGAGAAAAACCTCATTTAAATCAAAACTATCTAGCTTATATAACTAATTTACGCCGATAGCCAATAAAAAATTTCGTACTTTGCCTATCTTCCGCATTAACCAGCAAAATATTTGTATAATTTTTATATTACAAAACAGAGGTTAATTCTTTTAAATAAATCTGAGCAAGAGACATAAAGATAATTAGAATTTATTATAGAACTTTGAAGATGCTCATACGACATCTGTCATTGGCAAAGCAATAAAGAAATATATTCTTATATTCTCTGCAAATTTGCATTTCCTATCCGATATACGTCACAATTTTTAAAGTTAATCATGGTATGGCCATTCACTTAGCCCACTTGTATTGAAATTTAAAAGCAAATGGAGGCACTAAAAATGTCTGTAGGGATGCATACATATGATATGCTGTATTTGGAGGTTATATTCAATTCCCACTTCTTAAGTTGGTGTAAGTGTACCCTATGCACACATGCACATAAACAATGATTACAATTTAGCGCTTTTTTGTACATTAGAATATTTTACGATGCTTGTTCCTGCTTTTAAAAGTTTACATGTTTCAATACATATGAACGGTATATGTTTCTGTACAGTAAAAGTAGTTTTAACTGATTTACACTTCGTCGATGTCATATGTAAGTGAAACTTTCCCCTCTTTGTTTAACTTAAGCGCTCTTTGATTTTCGATAATTATAATCATATGAAGGACTCTGAGAACATTAACTCAGAACTAACTGTTTAAGGTTTTCAAAACAGAGCGTATTGCGGTAGATTGAAATACGAAGTTTATAGTATATTTAAATGCATACATGTATGTAAAATACTTACATATCTATATTTCAACATAATGCTTCATATATATTGTAATCTATATATGCAAATGTCTATATACATAATAATAAAAAATTTGTATATATACATGTAAACAAAATATATATAACAATATATTTATTTATCTATATACAAATATATTTAAAATCTAAAATCTTTCATAATTTAAATTTCTTATACAAGAAGGAAAAATGAACTATAAATAAATATATACGTATATATACTTTATATATATATATATATATATATATATATATATAAAATAAGTAAAATCGAAGACTGCTTAAATTATGATACAGGATATGTATGATATATGTGATATATATCATCTATAAGTACATGTTCACATTAAATTTCATTTCAATTCAACTATTACCATGTTTTTCAGAGATGAAATAAGACAATTGCAAATCGTTGGTTTCTACGCTTTTTTGACTATCCTATTTTACATGGCTCAAGAGTATAAAAGTTCATAAAGAAAAGTGAAATTTAATTTATGACAGTTCTTTTTTGAGAGATAATTCAGCAGTGGAAGTGAAAACGAAATTACATTTGATTCAGGTCCAACACCTTGATTTGGTTGCAAATAACAACAATGAGTATATTTATAAACATACTGTTTTCATTTGCTTGGTAACTGCAAAATGGCCATTTTGGTAATTTTGAAACCTAATTTGATGAGAGCAATAAAATATATTTAGAAATTGAGGTTGCCTTCCTTAAACGTAACTATGAAGTCTGTAGATGGACAAACAGCAAAGAAAGTTGTTAAGCCCAGTTTAAGAGCCCATATTCTATGAAATGTCCAAATTATAATTATCAATATATTTCCTGCGCGCATAAAAACCCGAGAATTTGTAGACCAATACATTTCGAATATCATTTCTTTTTACGAAATAAACCGAAATTTTTTGCAATTGTTCTAAATTATAATTAATATTTGTTGAATTATAGATAATAAAAAAAAACAGCCTCACTAGTTTTCGCGTACATCTAGAATTTCGAAAAATGTTTTGGCTTGTATCGCCGTTCTCGTTTTTACTTCCTTTTCACTGTTGGCGCTTCATGCAGGGACATTGAGTAATTTTTAATTTACAAACGGATTAAGTTCTTTTATTATGAAGTCCGCAATGACAAAAAAATAACTTTCAAAGTATTCTTCAGTGGCTGCCAAATGTTGGAATTTAAGATAATATTTTGCAAGAATTTTAAAATTCTGGAAAATGACTTATTAAATGTTTACTTCTATGAAATGAATAGATGTCTTACTTTTTAATTCATAAGTTGACAGCATTGGCAGTGATAATGAGGAGAAAAACAACAGCAAAATAATACGGCAAACGAAAGCAATACACATTAACTAAAAGACGTTACGGAAAAAGAAGAACTTACGTTCTCTGCATTATTTGTGTTTGCGTATATGTACATTTAAGAGTATGGGATTCACTGTGTGCGTAGTCTTCTACTGCGTTCTGTCGGTGTAGCTATGCGTTAGCATGTTGTTAGTACTGTGCAAAGCAGTTTATTATTTGTTTTTTCATTGCACATTATGTTTTTTGCTTTATTTCATCTTTCTCCGTGAACGTAACGTTGTATTTTATATAATTATATGACTGTATACTAAAAATATATATACAGAACTATACAAAGTGCTCGTTACTTCCTTCGCTGGATACTAGAAGTTTTAAAAAACACGTTGCCATGTTCGAAACATGCTGGTGATTTTCGAGAAATTCGTTAACACCGCGAAGAATAACAAAAAACAATAACAACGATTACTATTTTTAATTAAATATTTATTTAGAGTATGTGTATGCACACACATCAATAAATAAATAACTATTCATACGTTCTACACACACACGCACGCGCTACACAAGCGCAACATACTCCCATACATAAATTTATATTTTTATATATATACATATGCATATATATATATATATATATATATATATATATTATATGCTGCTAATGTAAAGATCTGGAAGCTAGTGGCCAAATAAATTGGGAAAGCTATCAATAAAAAAGGAAACAATTGTTGTGAGCGCGGCTATTTTGGTTGCATCGTTTGTGTATGATATCAAAAATCCAAAAGACTATTTAATTTGAGCGAAATCGAAGGAAAATATATGAAAACCTTAAAAACAAGTGAAGTGATATAATTGAATATATAAAAGAAAAATAATAATGCGAAAAATGAGAATAAAGTGTATAATAAGAATAATTGGAAATCGCCACTCTGGCGATCCTGTTTTGCCTTTTGATTTGAAATGAAATACCTACGTAGGTATAAAGTAAACTGTATAATTGCCGGCGGTATGTAGAATTGGTGGAATAACACCTCGAAAATACTAAATCATAATATCATAAGTTGCAATTAGTGTGAATTTTAAAATTGTGATCAATATAAAAACATAAAATAAATAAATGATTATAGGTATATACAAATATACATAGGTAAAGAAGTGAATGAATATATAAAAACAAATATATATACCTATTTATATATATACATGCATACAAATATAAAACATGCATATATATATATATATATATATGTACATGTGTCTGTTGTGTGTTTTCCATTTCGATTGTTTTCATTTTCATAGATGTGATTGTCGATATATGTAAATTCTAGCAATTACAGCAGTATATGGCATATCTCCAGAAATTGAATTTCGATTATTACAGTAACATTTTCTCGACTCATAGCAACGAAAGGTAGTTCTTCAGATTGAAGCCAGACTTTTAGTAAATGGATGACGTCGCTATAAACTCTTTGATAAAATATTTTCTAGTTACACTTGTACACTTGTTAGTAGTTACTTAAGTGAATTAAAAACTCATGAACAAAGACTATTTAAATAATCACGAAATAAACCGCAATACATCCGCAACAAAAGTCGAAACCTGTAGAGTTGAACAAAAAAGTATAGAACCTATAGAATTAATACCTTAATATTTGCAAATGAGTTAAGCTTAAGGTCAAACGTTTAATTATTAAGTGCATTACAAGCCGTATGGGAAGCGATTGAACCATATCTATTTCTGAGTTCACGTTCACGGCTTTTGCAAACAGAATTTTGACGAAATTTTAGCAATAAGCGGTGTTAGTTGAAAGACAAAGTGGTGCGTTGAAAAAAAAATGTTGCATCTACGTCAAGCGTAAGTTATTTAATTTAATTCTTTGACTGGTAAGATTAAAGAGAGAACAGGACGCATGGAAATAACTGCAAATTGGTATTTTAAAATTTAAAGCCTAACAAAAAACTCGTGCACTTGCGTTTAAGATAAGAAGTTTTACTTACAAGTGAATATACTTATTGAAGAAACAATTTATAAATACGGAAGTAGTGATGTCTTTTATTGTATGTAGTTCAAAAGTCTGTTTCGATAGAAACACGATTATAAACATATACAATGCACTCAAAGTACGGAAATGCGTAGGATGGGAATAAGACTATTTCTTCAATAGTTCCAAAAACTAAAAAAATTATCTATTTTAGTAAAGCACAGTTGAAAACTGCTCACCATTTTGCTAACTATGTAGGGAAGCCAGAGCTTGCCTCTATAAGTTCAATTTACGAAAAATTTAAGTGAAAATAAATCTAGCTTCAAGAATCCGGCTTATTTTACGCCAGTCTGCACAGATACAGTTTTCAAGTAAATATGTTTATACTTTCTGAAAAATATTTAATGAGCTTAATCTCTGCTTTAGTTTACACAAGTCATATTTTTAAGCTTTTCTAAAAATAACATATTTGCTTCCATAGTGCGATCTGATGTTTCGTGTTAATCAATAGTAACTTTCAATAGCAGAGTAATGTACGTAGATATCACGCTCTTCCGCAGTAGAAACGAAAATAAAGTTGGACTCTCTAATGAAATACAAAAACAATTTGAAAGAAGTGTCGGCAATATTATTTTTTGATTTATTTTATTTTTTGATCAATCTTAACATTTTATTTCTGATGAGAGGCGTTCTTAATATGACATCCAGCCGTAAATGCTTTTCCTTTCTGGTATTTCTTGACATTAATATCTTCTATTTTTATCTTTATTTGCAGGACAATTTAGAATTGATTTAAATTTATTTAATGTGTAAGCTATTGCAAATTGCTTGGTCAAAATATAGATGAATTGCAATAATTAAAATGGGCGCACTGTCCTATTATTCAAATATTGTATGTTGCCGCATATTATTTTAGACTTAATTAACAAAGAACTAAATTTAAAAAATACATCAGTCACGATCGGACCTCAATTTCATCATCTGGGGTTTACCGTTAAACGGAATATAAAACATTTCACTTGAATAGGAATTGCTTGATGAATTGAGAACTTAAATTCTCAAATTACCAGTCGACACTCTTAAAATGAAATTCAAAAACTGAATATTACAACTCGAAGTTGCAATTCAAAATTTGGTTCTTTTCACGAGTATAAAAGCTAATTTTCAATTTCTATGGCCTAAAATATGATTTTTAATCGTTTCTTCTTTTGGTTTGCGAATTTTTTTTATAAAATTTTATATTTCTAAAACCTAGAATATATAAAGGCCAGAATGGAACAAAAAGTATTTCTACTTTATTCTATTATCATTTGGTGTTCGCAGATTAAAAAAATTATTTTTTGAACGAATAGTCGCAATATGCATGGTATCCATGTAAATTAAAAAAAATTAAAAGAAATATCTTTTTATAAGAGTTTCTTCATTTCTTATACTATGTACCTCTGTATAGGTAGTTAATTGCTATTCTTATCATTTTTTGCTAAAATTAAAGATTTATTAAAAAGCTATATGCATTATATATCGCCTCCTTGGGCATTTCGAACTCTTTATATATGTATGGATTGAAAAACCCCTCTTTGATTAGTTTGTTCAATTTGTATGCCACGAGTAGTATATAAACGTCAACAAAATTTTCGAAATTTAAATGTATGCGCAAGAAAACAAGTTAGTTGCGCGTATTGTGATCATATTAAGCAGACAGAATGCTTAAAACTATACTAAATAAATATTCTGATATATATTCATTTACGAATGCAGTTATGAAGACTACATAACTCAATTAGACAATTATGATATGCAAACCAAAAAAAATAGCAGTTTAAAAGAAATGCTAGAAATTAATATTACAAAAACTTTACAAAAGTTCCAATAAACTTATTTAAGTAAAACTGCCAAATAAATGTTATTTGTGCTATGGAAAATTTTTATGTGTCTCCATAGGAAAAGTATCTTTTGTTTGCTTTGTATCTATATATAATATTTTGATAGCTGCAATAACCTGGATGAACAAGTGTAGTTAGCTTAGTTTAGTTTCCCTTTAATTTATTACTTAATAATCTTTACTATGATTAAAATTTATGTGCCAGGAAAACTATGGAGTGTCAACTTGAAGTTTGTTGTTGACTAAAATCAGCTGTACTTACCTCGTTAATAAAGGGTAAATATTTGTTTCTCCTCGATTATAGGGGAATCAGTATAATTGAGATATTCTCTTTATATCCTTTGAAAATTAACCCTTAAACTTTTTGATGCGCACTTCTGGACGGAAACGGAATGAGTTTTCTATAATCCCACCTTCAGGGTTAAGTTAAAAAAATTATTAACATTTAGAGGTTGGACAAGTTGAAATATAAAATGGTCGGTGTTAATAAATCCTTGGATACATTCCGTTTTCTTAAGTAAATATGAAAATCTACATTTGTTATTTATATTCTTCTATAGATTGTCTTGGAACAAAAATGGTTGCGAGTCTTTACCAAATTTGGAATCTTCCTACTGTTTGCTCGCCGTGTTTGAATGAAGACGTAAACGTAATCGTAAAATGGTAGATCGTTTTGATATGACTAACGGGTTTTGAGCGGGATGTTCCTTAGCTAGGCGTGTTCAGTTTGTTGGAAAAGGGAGTTTAATATTAGTTAGCACATTTCACTTGTATCCTTGTAAGGTTAATGCAATTAAACAAAGTTTCGTATGCACTAAGTAAGAAACGAGACCCTATGTATGACGCAAATGTATGTAGTGTACGTATGACTTTTGAGGTTATATAAGCTACATGCAATTTGACGACATTAATTGTGGCAGTGTTCTGAGGTAACTCGTACACGCCAATGTCGTTGACGTCGCTGTTCTTGCTGTTTATATTATTTGTACTTTATGCTTTTTGTTGATTTGATATTTTTCTCGCTGTTGTTTAGGTTTTTTGTGGCTTCATATCTTGAATATTGTAACTAAGGCTTCATGGTTTAAACTCTGGTGTTTCCGTCTTTCATGTGTTTTTGATATTCTTTCATTTTAGTTCTCTTTTATTTTTGGCTCAAACGCTTTATTGCATATTCATGCCTGAGTGCGTTTTACAATATTTTATTACTAACAGGTTTGCCATAAGTATATGCCCCTATCTCTTTTAGACGCAAACATATACAGATATATATAACTGTTTATTCGTTTTGTATGCTTTTACGCTCATTATTGTATGTGGTTTGCATACAAACGTAGATGTCATGCGTAACTCTCTCTCTCACCGTTGCCCTTCACAGTGTACATCTTACTAAATTGTTTAGTATTTAATAAAAGCGGAAAAAGAAGAAAACTAAGGCAACAACAATGCCAATAGTAATTAAGCATTACGAATTTTACCTTTAGATCATGAGTCATATCGGAATTTTATTGAAATTGATGAAACTAAAAACGATGTAAAATTCTAGCACGCAGATAGTGTGCAAGCATATGCAGAGCTTTTAAGTATGTACGTATGCATATAAAAATCATGATATGTGTGTATACGCCAGGCAAATATTTACTAAATTGGGTTTTTCTGACTTATGAAAAAAGCGCAATTTACTTAACGTAAAAAAGTTTTTTCGATTTCAATTCAGTTAATATCTAAAATATCTTAGCGATGCAAGTTATGTGCTATTCCCCAAAACACGCTGGTTTGAAATGAAAACAGCCTCACGCATATTTTATAATTACATTTTCTTCTGGTATCGAAGAAAAGGTTACTACAAAGCAGCCTCTTATGACAAATATTGAATTTACCTTTCATTTTGAAAAACAACTAGTTATATGAAAGAGATAAGGATTGTTTTGACTAGATCAAGTCCTTGCAAAACCGAAGACGAGATGCCTGGTTCGGAATGTTTTATTTAACACGTATAAAGCTCAATTTTTTTGTCCTTAACGAAAACATTCGTTTATAATCTACCTGTAAACAATTTTCGATTTAAAATCTCTGTGAGCACGTTTTTATATTTTATGCAAAATAAAGTACAAGCTGAACCTCAGCCACATTTATTGTAAACAATATAATACAAAAAAAAAGAATGAGTAGAAATATTTTGACAAAAAAAAATTATATAAGCGGTTACATAAATATATGCAAATGCATCTAAGAAAACATCTAAAATTAAACGCAATAATTCTGACGTCTAATCATCACAACAAAATTTTTTATTCGTTTAAAATCATTTAAAAATAAAAAAATAATTTAATCATACATTCTAAAATCGAGCGAGCCGGGCACGATTTCAAAATGCCACATTCAAGTCATACGCGGCATAGTGGCTCGTCCGGTGATGATTTGGGTAGCACTGATGAAGTCAAAGTCTTCAAAGACGAGGGAGAAGATGAGAAAATATCAGAAAATCTTTTAAAAGAAGATAAATCTTCGCTGATAGATTTGACCGAGAGTGAGGTAAGTAAATACAGTCATTATTCAATTTTTAAATATACGGAAGTAAGCGTCGGGAACCTAATATACAATTTCAATAAAAAGATTGTCTGTACGTTTAAAGCATTTATATAATATATTCATGAAAATTTGAATACAAAAATATATCTACATATATAGGGTATAACTTGGCGCATGCGACTAGCAAATCGAAATAAAATTTCGACTAACAATACAACTACTGACGTTCTGCATATTTCTACAGTTGTGAACCATTTCGATCCACAATATTTCTAGAATCGCCTCACGTCCAAACCATCAGGATAAGAACCTGAAATTTGACACATATATTCCTTAATCGCTTGAGAATCAGAAGCTAAAAAGTGATTGTGATCTGCCTGCATGGACTCTCACAGAAGATTGGAAACTGAGACAATCTCGAAAAAACTATGACAATAATTTATATTTTCGCCATGTATTTTGCAAAACAAGAAAATAAAAATATTGAAACTTTACGTGCTTTATAATCCTTTCTTGAAACTTAAGTGTTCAAAGAGGTCAAAGTGATCAACGGGATGGTTCTAGTGTTAAATATGGTTTTTTAATAATTCTTCAATTAAGAAAGATAGTTAGATCATTTCAGAATTTTCTGGTCTGAGGATTACAATTTATAAATTATTCCCATATGCTACGTAGATAAGCGTTGTTTAACTCTCATTTAGTCTGCTTGTAGATGATGGTTTCAGAAACCCTGTAGTTTATAGGTGTACGTGTTCGGTTATGCAGTAGATCTTCACGCGAATGGTTACATGTAGCTAGTCTTAAACCAATTTTATTGAAATTAGGATGGTTGACAATGTCTGTAGGGCTAACAATGTGTTAAAAAATCTTAGAACAGTTAAAGAGTTAATGTGAAGCTCAAGTCCTCTCTGGTCGGAATCGATGGAGATCTTGATTTAACCAATATTAGTAATGACCATTCCTGTTCTTCATACGCAGAGCATTTTCGTGTTAAGTTTTTGGCTTTTTGAAATTAAATGCGAAATGCTACTACTATAAATGGTTTTCTTTCTATGCTTAAAACATAATTTAATTTCATATTTGATACCAGTGAAAGTTTTTAGCATGATATACCGATATTAACTTATAGATATATATTTCTCCTTGCTTGTATATTTGACAAACTCGTCTCCAAAATAGAAACTGGAAAACTGGAATAGTTTCAACAAAATTACAAATTCTTGAAATTGCTTCAGCGCAAAGTTTGACTATGTAAGATTTTTATACTCGTGAGAGGAGAATGGAGCATACTAACTCTATGTTCGTGGAATTGTGGATGATTTACATTCGTCTATCATTTGATCCCATTGCTCGGGCAAATATAGCGAAAGTAAGTTGAATTTTCTCACAATAATTTTTTTAATCAAAGCATATTCACCAGAAAAAGAAAAACATCTCTTAAATACTCCTCAACTTGAAAAAGTCATATATTTGGAACTTTGAGGGAATGTTGCACGGACAATTTAAATGTTCAAACTGTCCTAACACTAACATAAATAAGGAAAATTGATGGGTAGACGTCTAATATTCATGATGACACGACTATAATTTTCCTTAACACTGGAACTACCGGTCTTTTGCATTTACCTTGTATGACGCAAACTTTTTCCCACCAATATTTTTTTGCTAATAGGAACGATACGAATTGAGAATTACACATGCAGACCGAAAACGAGCCTAAAAGACGAATTTGAAGACTGCGTAAATTTTGGTTGATTTTATTTGCAAGAACGATAATATTTTATTTGTTAAAACGACCGAACTTTTTGGTGATTGGAAAACATATGATAGATAGGTGTACGACTAAGGAATGCTTGTATCATATTTCAACGTTTTTGCGACTTTAGGAATTCGACAAAAAACAAAGCATCAAGAGTATCTCTCTTGGTAGATATAGCAAAATGTCATTGACATGTCGAAAACTAGATTAGGTACAAAAAATCTGATTGTAGGTATTCGAAGGCCTTTTCAACTAAATTAAACCTAAAAAGGATCACAGTGATTTACTGTATAGATCTAGTATTAACTTAAGTAAAACCTTTTCCCTCTATCGCTGAATGATTATATTATGTTGTGGTCATCAGAAACAGGGTTTGGAAGAAATTCATCCGAACCGAAATATTTTTCTGACCATTTTCCTTTAAGAGAAAGGATTTGTCCAGCTATATAATAAAACTTGCGCTTTTAATTTTCAGCTCACAACTTCAATATATTTAATCTCTGATTTTTAATTATTACTATTTTCCCTTTTTAAACATATGTCTACAGCAAAATATTGCTTCTACAATGAAGAGATTTGGACATAATCTTGACTAAAATGCTCTGTTTTTTCATTGCAGGAGAAAAGTGGCCGCGTGACCCGTTCTGAACATAGTCCTGTATTTAGTAAGTATTTGTTTCTATTTTTTCTCTATTTTACTAATCGGCAAAAATTTATTTTAGTGGCTTCACCACTCAATCATGATAAAATATCTCCAAATATCGAATTTATTTGGCTAACATCTAATATTTAGATTAGTGTTGTTTTTTTGTTTGTTGTGTTGTTTGAATTAATATGTTTACATCAAAACTTGGCAAGCGACATGCGGTGAAAACTCATCGAAAATTGATATAAATAAAATTAAAATATTGAGTATGACGACGCAATCCAAAATCTTTTAATTATTTTAATTATATCAGTAAAAATAAACTGTGCTCGCCTTGGGTGTAATCTTTAATATACATATCACCCCTTGAACTTATATGTAAAAATTGCAAACTGTTTCATCAATCGTGGCCATGTCAGTTGGCCGTTCAGAGTCTTTTTACACAGCCCTTTTAACATGCTCCGCCCTTCGGTGGTGGATATAACTGATTGCCTTTGTGTGCGACTAGCAGTAGGTTTGTTAAACGTTTATCGATAAAAAAATTGACATAACTTTTACCATAAAATATAACCTTAAAACGTTTATTAATTATTTGGCCTTAACATTGCTTATTAGCAAGCTTAACTTTATGAGGAACGTCTATTATGATATGGCTATGTAATTACATATATTACTTTTTTGTTATTTTTGGTCATTAGTGCTATGGTTTTCTTTCCATCTAAACGAGTATCAACATGTATATTATCCTAGTTCTACCTGTAATATAGTTGGCGTAAGATATAAAAGAATAACACAATTATTGTTCTTATACTTATTTTATATATCGTTAAATTCTCATATGTAAGTAAAGAAATTTTAAACAAAAACAAATAGAATATTTCACGCATGTTACGTAATTTGGTTTAGTGAAAGAGCTCATGTTTAGTCATAAGTATTTCTTTTTTATCCGCACTTTCAGATGAGCTAATATTTATACCGCAACCTATTCCATGTTAGAAATTTGGTCATCAGTTTTTGTGTATTCACGCGAACGCTAAAGCGTAAAACCTTTCTCCAATTAGATCTAAACTATAATATATAATGCTTTGTTTAATAAATTTATCTTCGAGATAGTGTCGACATGGTAATTTGCTTTCTTCAAATAATGATTTTCAATACATCATTTTTACTTCTATTCAAACTACAAAATTTTACACAACAAAATGAGAATATTCGCTAAGTATTTGATGGACAAGTAATGCAGTTTCCAGCGTTGGAGGGTTGAATTGAATTATTCGTGGATAACTGTATGTATGTAGTTTCCGCTTAGCTAAAATTTAGTCAACTTTATCCAATTCCATTCCTCTTTTATGAAAATGCTTATTTGCACAGAAGTTAAAGACAACGATGTTTATTTGGAAAGTATGTTCGATACCATGTATTTTCATACCATTTGCTGGACTGAGAAATATATGAAAAATATTTGGATAGAAGTCTGTTGTTTTTCCGTTCCAATAGTCGTCAACTACTTTTGATTAAACCATTACACGTTGTTTCTTTCTTTAGTTGCGTCTTTTCTTATCTTAAATTGGTGCAATAAGTACTATTATTGAATTAAGGAAAAATCAAATCAAAAGCAGCAGACGATTTATCGTTTGTAGCGGAACAAAAAATTATTAACTGTGAAACAATCAAATTTCAATCAATGCTAACGTGCTGAAATTTTTTTCTTGGTTATCTAACGATATAAATTTGACTTATGTATATGCAATTAATTAAGTGGGCATAAATATCTAATTTACTTTTTAGGAATCAGAGATTATTAAAGATAATTACTATTAAAAAAATATTTTTTTCAAACAATAAAATGAGTTTTATTTTAAAAAGTATGCAGGCTTCAATTTTTAATGCAAACTTTTTTTATTGTATTGCCATAACTGACATTTACATTGTACAGAAGTTTTAAGTTATTCAGTTTGTTAGTTTATAACTTAGAGTGTTTTTTATGTCGCGGACTTGAAAACAGCTAGCAAACTGCCTTCAATAGCATCAGAATGATTGCCACGAAATCATTCAATTCATCGTGGGAAGCGAAAATAGTCACTCCGAACTATGTTAAGCGAATAGGGTGCTTGGGCAAGGATATGAGATTTTTTTTTCTATTTTTTCAATATGACTCATCACTCAGCCCCCTATTCGCGTAACGCGAGGACGGCCAGGGAGAAGTAAAAAAAAGAGAGAAAAAAATAGGGGCAAGGGGACCCAATCGATAAGTGTTATGCCTTTACCGACTGAGTACTTACTATATCTGCGACCAAAGTTCATTCTACCGTACTGAGATTCGAACCCATAAATACTAACTTTGTGGTTATGTTTTTTATCTATCTGGCTACTCAAGCGGACACAAAATTCGATTTTTACTGACAAATTTACGAGTAATGATCTTACGCTACAGTGCACTTTGGCGATGTAAAGGTTAGGAAGTGCTTGCAATGAGTTCGAAGGTGTTATTATAGATGCGCTCCTGCAAATGAAACCAACAGCCAAGATAATGTTCCTTATTAACTGTTTAAACGCCGAGAAATTACTCCTTTTGAATAACATCGCAGTAATTGCATAAAATGGTTAGCCTGACTTCTATTTCGTCATTAATTTTTTTTTTTTTTTTTTCTTAAAGAGAGTGATTTTGAGACAGTACAAGAAGCGAAATGAGACAACCGCAAATAACTTTTCCAACATTTCGAATTCTTCCACTCAATAATTCACGATTTCTGCTAAGTATTGTTGATGTTTCAATCAGCTGTTGAGCCCTTTGGAATAAAGTTCATCTTCAACTTTTTCTCTATTCTTCTTAAAGGCTTTGCACCACTCGTAGACCTCTGATCGCGCCATTGTTTCGTTATTATAACACTTTTCTAATATCTTCAATTTTTAAGTATGAAGATTAATATGAATTTCTTGCTCCATAAATTTACTTATTTAGACAGTAGGTACACAACGATTTTCAAAAATTATTTTATAAATTAACAAATAAAATAAAACAAAACTGTAGTTGGATATTATTGACGCTTGTACCAACATAAAAAAATTTCATATTGGTATTCGAAGTGCCCATATTTTCAAAATAAAAACCCCGTTTCCAATCGATTTTTTCAACATAGCAGTAGACATAAGCAGATGTATTAAACTTGTTTACGTGTGTCACACATAGGATGAAGCGTCCCCATCCGGATAAATTCTACATGATATCAGTCCACAACTAGCAAACATACGTTTCTTACTTCCCCTCAAACTAATAACTCAAATATCCTAAGCTAATCTCAGAAAGGAAATGCGAACATATTGCTAAATGTAGATGATTAGGCCAGACAGCAGAAAAACTGAAAGTCAGTCAAAAGTTTATAAAAAGTGCATTAAACAGGAAAGTTTCTGAGTTATGAAAAATGGGTTTCTAATAGAAAAAATGATGACTTTTTATAATTCAAACTCGTCAAGCAGCTCACAAGGTATTTATTATTTCCCTGACGACAGCTCATACACAAAAAGAACGCATACATGTAAGCAGATAGATTTTAAAACTGACATTCTATTCCATTCCACTTCTTTTTTTGTGCAAACTAAAAAAAGGGAAAAGGTAAAAAATGTAATTCAACACAAATTCTATTGTATACAGGAACAGATTGCGTGTTTTTTTTTTCGAAATTCATTTTTATTCATCAAAAACGCTCAGCTTTCGCGAAGACGTTAAGCCCCCTACTATTGACGTATCTATTATTGTTGAATATTTTCAACATTACTGGTGGACGTTTTTGATTTAGGTTTGTGCCTTTTTCAACGGTCTATCCGTTGAAATCGTGCTTGCTAAATTTTGAATAATCGATACAATTGTCAAAACTTTATTCATAATTCTCGAAAACAGTAAACGATAGTAGATGGAATCGTTTCACGGATACAATGAAAATTAAAATTGATGCAGATTGGCTTAGGCCAAAGCCTTTTAATAAACAGAATACGCAATTTCTTATAGAACTGGAAGTTTTCACTTAAGAATGGTCAGTTAATGTTCAAACCATAGTATATCATAAATTCTTGGCGAGTATACTATTTCCAGTTGTTACAATTTTTTGTTGTTTTATCACAGCGTATGTTAGATTTATCAAGTGTTTGAACCACAGAAAAAGGAATCAAGAATTTCAAAGATCAGCGTGCGTAACTGAATCAAATTCGTCATCTGTGTCCCTTGGCCATTTGGCTTGTGAACTTATAAGTTCGATATCTTATATGGAAAAAAATTGCTTCAAAATTTCACTCTGCTTTCGTTACGTTAAGATCCAAATTCAGAAATAGTGTTTGTATGACAATCTGAAATTGTAAACAAAGTTCACCACGTTTATATTTTCGTATTTTCCAGTACGTTACGTTAGTGATGTATTTCTTGAAACATAGGTATTGTGTAAAATAATACAATATTTGCGCTGACACAACAGTTTTTACAAGAGAGAGGGAGAGAGAGTGTGTTAGGGCTTTGCAATATTGCATTATATAATTATACAAGACGATGAACAGAAAGTAGTGCAAATGGGAGATGCGGCCTAAGCTAACAACTATAACGTCGTTCTTGTTATAACTTATGTATATGTACAAAGCAAATTATATTTATCTGTATGTTCACGCATAAATTTTTTGTGATGGTCGTATGCGTTCTATGTGTGTTGTATGTGAACATATATGTCTACATGTATAGATAAAAAATATGTACGCTTTCCCATATTGTTAGTCTTAAGTGGATGTGCGTGCTAGTAGCGACATAACCCACTATAAATTTGATTTTTTTCCATATGTTTATTGTACACATCGCATCGGTTATATTAAGTTAGTTACACTCTTTTGACTAATAGATACGAAACAGGTATTCACATTTCCTATGAGCATTGAAATTTATTACTTTTACTCTCAATTCTTCATCTAGAAAAATCGTTTGTCCTACTATTTAGTTAACAAAGACAGCTAAATTGACATGTCAACATTCCACAAAGCCCT